ACTACGGTGAGACACCTGTCCAACACCTGCACCTGTCCGTCCATCACCTGTCCAACACCTGTCCATCACCTGTCCATCACCGGTCAATCACCTGTCAATAGCCTGTCCATCACCTGTCCATCACCTGTCCATCACCTGTCAATCACCTGTCCATCACCTGTCAATAGCCTGTCCATCACCTGTCCATCACCTGTCCATCATCTGTCAATCAACTGTCCAACACCTGTCCAACACCTATCCATCCATCACCTGTCCATCATCTGTCCATCACCTGTCCAACACCTGTCCGTCCATCACCTATCCAACACCTGTCCATCACCTGTCCATCACCTGTCTATCACCTGTCCATCCATCACCTGTCCATCACCTGTCCATCACCTGTCCATCACCTGTCCGTCCCTCTCTAACCTCACCTGTCTGTCCCTCTCTAACCTCACCTGTCCCTCACCTTTCCTCCAGGTGTTCACGAGGACAACCAGCTCACCATCCACAGCGACATGACGGCTATCGTCAGGGCGATGGCCAATCAGGAGTCAGGCCTGGAGGTCCGGGACCGCATGTGGCTGAAGATCACCATCCCCAACGCCTTCATCGGTAAGAGACCCTGACCCAGACCCTAACCCAGAACCAGTAAGAGACCCTGACCCAGACCCTAACCCAGAACCAGTAAGAGACCCTGACCCAGACCCTAACCCAGAACCAGCAAGAGACCCTAACCCAGACCATAACCCAGAACCAGCAAGAGACCCTGACCCAGACCCTAACCCAGAACCAGCAAGAGACCCTGACCCAGACCCTAACCCAGAACCAGCAAGAGACCCTGAACCAGAACCAGCAAGAGACCCTGACCCAGAACCAGTAAGAGACCCTGACCCAGAACCAGCAAGAGACCCTGAACCAGAACCAGCAAGAGACCCTGACCCAGAACCAGTAAGAGACCCTAACCCAGAACCAGAAAGAGACCCTGACCCAGAACCAGTAAGAGACCCTGACCCACACCCTAACCCAGAACCAGCAAGAGACCCTGACCCAGACCCTAACCCAGAACCAGCAAGAGACCCTGACCCAGACCCTAACCCAGAACCAGCAAGAGACCCTGACCCAGACCCTAACCCAGAACCAGCAAGAGACCCTGACCCAGACCCTAACCCAGAACCAGTAAGAGACCCTAACCCAGAACCAGCAAGAGACCCTGACCCAGGACCAGTAAGAGACCCTAACCCAGAACCAGTAAGAGACCTTAACCCAGGACCAGCAAGAGACCCTAGCCCAGGACCAGCAAGAGACCCTATCCCAGAACCAGTAAGAGACCCTAGCCCAGGACCAGCAAGAGACCCTAGCCCAGGACCAGCAAGAGACCCTAACCCAGGACCAGTAAGAGAACCTAACCCAGAACCAGTAAGAGACCCTAACCCAGACCAGTAAGAGACCCTAACCCAGGACCAGTAAGAGACCCTAACCCAGGATCAGTAAGAGACCCTAACCCCAGGACCAGTAAGAGACCCTAACCCAGAACCAGCAAGAGAACCTAACCCAGAACCAGTAAGAGACCCTAACCCAGGACCAGCAAGAGACCTTAACCCAGGACCAGTAAGAGAACCTAACCCAGAACCAGTAAGATACCCTAACCCAGGACCAGTAAGAGACCCTAACCCAGGACCAGTAAGAGACCCTAACCCAGGATCAGTAAGAGACCCTAACCCAGGACCAGTAAGAGACCCTAACCCAGAACCAGCAAGAGAACCTAACCCAGAACCAGTAAGAGACCCTAGCCCAGGACCAGCAAGAGACCTTAACCCAGGACCAGTAAGAGAACCTAACCCAGAACCAGTAAGAGACCCTAACCCAGGACCAGTAAGAGACCCTAACCCAGGACCAGTAAGAGACCCTAACCCAGGATCAGTAAGAGACCCTAACCCAGGACCAGTAAGAGACCCTAACCCAGAACCAGTAAGAGACCCTAACCCAGGACCAGTAAGAGACCCTAACCCAGGACCAGTAAGAGACCCTAACCCAGGATCAGTAAGAGACCCTAACCCAGGACCAGTGAAGACACACTAAACCTGTATCTGGTAAAGAGACCCTGAACCTTTACTGGTCAGAAGACCCTTAAGAAAACTCCAAATGAATTAAAGAGGCCCGAATCCCTTATCAGCAGAAAGACCCTTCGTTATTAAACCCCAACCCTTTATCGGTACAAAGCCCCCAACCCATTGTCTCTAAATACCAGAGGTGGGAGACTTGAGTCACGTGACTTGACTCGAGTCAGACTCGAGTCGCATATTTTTGGACTTGAGACTTGCTTGACTAACATTGATAAAAGACTTGACTTGACTTTGACTTGGTATTCATGACTTGGTATTCATGACTTGGTATTCATGACTTGAGACTTGAGACTTGAGACAGATGACTCACTTTGTATCGTACGGCAATGAAAAGATACTGTTTCTCGTTCGCACGAGAAGGTTACCGGAGCGCCAAGTAGGAAGTGGAGCTCACAGGAGACAGCCGTCTCATTGCAGACTGTAATGTTCATGTTGGGAAATGGCAGTGCATACATTATTTGAGATATATTTCGAACTCGGACTCTCCTTCACTTCATGAAATCACTGCAGCACCAGGAGGCAGCGCGACGTGTAACTCCGCCTCTGAGAAGAGCAGCACCAGGGGCCTCATTTATAAAGGGATATACGCTCAAAAGATGGCGTACGCCAGTTTCTACGCACTGGTTGCGATTTATAAAATACTAACTTGACGGGAAAATGTGCGGTCCTCCACGCAAACTCTGACCCATGCGTACGCACTAAGCACAACAACGGGAGAGACGAGAAACTGCGACACCGTTGGCAGAAGGAAGAATGGAGAGAAATATGTGGAAATAATACCATCAATAAAATGTTACCTCTCATTTATCAAATATGAAGAATTCATTTTCAAACATTGATTAAAGCCAATCTTTAAATGATGAAACAAACGCCTGTTTGAGACTCCTCAGTGCACACAAACACATCACTTGGAGAAATAAATAAATACGGATATGCTATTTAAAACCACCTCGAATATGTTGTGTTAATGTTATGAAATGTTTTCTCATAAATGATGCGGTAAGCAGGAGGACAGAATTACGTCTAAACTGACGCCGTTTCGCATTTCTATAGGTTGTAGATACGAGCATGGTTTTATATACTATCACGTTTAATCGTGTTTTATGCCGTTTGCCAAGACTTGATAAGTGGCTCGTAAAACCCAGGAGGTATGGAAACTAAGAACACCATATGTGGTAAACAGCTAATATAACACAACACATTGTATTTCCTTTAACTGGTGGATTATGGAGATATAGTTGCTGATCGACAGCTGGAACACAAACCACCAAATACAACACAATCATTCAGATCCAGTCGTCATGACTACACTCCGGAGGGATTCCCCCATCATTTCTTACAGTTTCTCATCAAGGGGGGGGTCTCCTGTCCCCGGGACAAACACACTGCCTGAGGAAGGTTATGTGTATTTGTTTTGTCATTAACTTTTAGGTTCAGACGTTGTTGTCTCCTAGGTTCTCACGTTGTTGTCTCCTAGGTTCAGACGTTGTTGTCTCCTAGGTTCAGACGTTGTTGTCTCCTAGGTTCTCACGTTGTTGTCTCCTAGGTTCTGATGTTGTTGTCTCCTAGGTTCTGATGTTGTTGTCTCCTAGGTTCAGACGTTGTTGTCTCCTAGGTTCTCACGTTGTTGTCTCCTAGGTTCTGACGTTGTTGTCTCCTAGGTTCAGACGTTGTTGTCTCCTAGGTTCAGACGTTGTTGTCTCCTAGGTTCTGATGTTGTTGTCTCCTAGGTTCTCACGTTGTTGTCTCCTAGGTTCAGACGTTGTTGTCTCCTAGGTTCAGACGTTGTTGTCTCCTAGGTTCTCACGTTGTTGTCTCCTAGGTTCTGATGTTGTTGTCTCCTAGGTTCTCACGTTGTTGTCTCCTAGGTTCTGACATTGTTGTCTCCTAGGTTCTCACGTTGTTGTCTCCTAGGTTCTGACATTGTTGTCTCCTAGGTTCTGACATTGTTGTCTCCTAGGCTCTGACGTTGTTGTCTCCTAGGTTCTGATGTTGTTGTCTCCTAGGTTCTGACATTGTTGTCTCCTAGGTTCTCACGTTGTTGTCTCCTAGGTTCTGACGTTGTTGTCTCCTAGGTTCTGATGTTGTTGTCTCCTAGGTTCTCACGTTGTTGTCTCCTAGGTTCTGACATTGTTGTCTCCTAGGTTCTGATGTTGTTGTCTCCTAGGTTCTGATGTTGTTGTCTCCTAGGTTCTCACGTTGTTGTCTCCTAGGTTCTGACATTGTTGTCTCCTAGGTTCTGATGTTGTTGTCTCCTAGGTTCTGATGTTGTTGTCTCCTAGGTTCTGACGTTGTTGTCTCCCAGGTTCTGATGTTGTTGTCTCCTAGGTTCTCACGTTGTTGTCTCCTAGGTTCTGACGTTGTTGTCTCCTAGGTTCTGATGTTGTTGTCTCCTAGGTTCTCACGTTGTTGTCTCCTAGGTTCAGACGTTGTTGTCTCCTAGGTTCAGACGTTGTTGTCTCCTAGGTTCTCACGTTGTTGTCTCCTAGGTTCTGATGTTGTTGTCTCCTAGGTTCTGATGTTGTTGTCTCCTAGGTTCAGACGTTGTTGTCTCCTAGGTTCTCACGTTGTTGTCTCCTAGGTTCTGACGTTGTTGTCTCCTAGGTTCAGACGTTGTTGTCTCCTAGGTTCAGACGTTGTTGTCTCCTAGGTTCTGATGTTGTTGTCTCCTAGGTTCTCACGTTGTTGTCTCCTAGGTTCAGACGTTGTTGTCTCCTAGGTTCAGACGTTGTTGTCTCCTAGGTTCTCACGTTGTTGTCTCCTAGGTTCTGATGTTGTTGTCTCCTAGGTTCTCACGTTGTTGTCTCCTAGGTTCTGACGTTGTTGTCTCCTAGGTTCTCACGTTGTTGTCTCCTAGGTTCTGACATTGTTGTCTCCTAGGTTCTGACATTGTTGTCTCCTAGGTTCTGATGTTGTTGTCTCCTAGGTTCTGATGTTGTTGTCTCCTAGGTTCTCACGTTGTTGTCTCCTAGGTTCTGACATTGTTGTCTCCTAGGTTCTGATGTTGTTGTCTCCTAGGTTCTGATGTTGTTGTCTCCTAGGTTCTGACGTTGTTGTCTCCCAGGTTCTGATGTTGTTGTCTCCTAGGTTCTCACGTTGTTGTCTCCTAGGTTCTGATGTTGTTGTCTCCTAGGTTCTCACGTTGTTGTCTCCTAGGTTCTGACATTGTTGTCTCCTAGGTTCTGATGTTGTTGTCTCCTAGGTTCTCACGTTGTTGTCTCCTAGGTTCTCACGTTGTGTCTCCTAGGTTCTGATGTTGTTGTCTCCTAGGTTCTCACGTTGTTGTCCTCCTAGGTTCTGATGTTGTTGTCTCCTAGGTTCTGACGTTGTTGTCTCCCAGGTTCTGATGTTGTTGTCTCCTAGGTTCTCACGTTGTTGTCTCCTAGGTTCTGACGTTGTTGTCTCCTAGGTTCTGATGTTGTTGTCTCCTAGGGTCTGACGTTGTTGTCTCCTAGGTTCTGATGTTGTTGTCTCCTAGGTTCTCACGTT